TCTGCAGTTAGATATAGCTCTTTGGCATACAAAGCTTTGCTTTCATGTCCAAATTGAGCACTCTAACTAGGATGAGTCATTGCTCTGCAATTGCGCATGCTCGCTAGTGTACTCTAGTTTGAGCACTCTGGCATGGCTTAGACGATACCACAAAGGTTGGATCGTTTGGGGTGACCATATTGGTTCTCCTCCATCCTAGCATTAGCACTGCACTGATGAGGCCCAGAAGGCCGAAACAGTACTGTCTGCAGTTAGATATAGCTCTTTGGCATACAAAGCTTTGCTTTCATGTCCAAATTGAGCACTCTAACTAGGATGAGTCATTGCTCTGCAATTGCGCATGCTCGCTAGTGTACTCTAGTTTGAGCACTCTGGCATGGCTTAGACGATACCACAAAGGTTGGATCGTTTGGGGTGACCATATTGGTTCTCCTCCATCCTAGCATTAGCACTGCACTGATGAGGCCCAGAAGGCCGAAACAGTACTGTCTGCAGTTAGATATAGCTCTTTGGCATACAAAGCTTTGCTTTCATGTCCAAATTGAGCACTCTAACTAGGATGAGTCATTGCTCTGCAATTGCGCATGCTCGCTAGTGTACTCTAGTTTGAGCACTCTGGCATGGCTTAGACGATACCACAAAGGTTGGATCGTTTGGGGTGACCATATTGGTTCTCCTCCATCCTAGCATTAGCACTGCACTGATGAGGCCCAGAAGGCCGAAACAGTACTGTCTGCAGTTAGATATAGCTCTTTGGCATACAAAGCTTTGCTTTCATGTCCAAATTGAGCACTCTAACTAGGATGAGTCATTGCTCTGCAATTGCGCATGCTCGCTAGTGTACTCTAGTTTGAGCACTCTGGCATGGCTTAGACGATACCACAAAGGTTGGATCGTTTGGGGTGACCATATTGGTTCTCCTCCATCCTAGCATTAGCACTGCACTGATGAGGCCCAGAAGGCCGAAACAGTACTGTCTGCAGTTAGATATAGCTCTTTGGCATACAAAGCTTTGCTTTCATGTCCAAATTGAGCACTCTAACTAGGATGAGTCATTGCTCTGCAATTGCGCATGCTCGCTAGTGTACTCTAGTTTGAGCACTCTGGCATGGCTTAGACGATACCACAAAGGTTGGATCGTTTGGGGTGACCATATTGGTTCTCCTCCATCCTAGCATTAGCACTGCACTGATGAGGCCCAGAAGGCCGAAACAGTACTGTCTGCAGTTAGTTATATATATATATATATATATATACATACATCCGTGTGTCTATGTGTGTGTGTGTGTAGAGAGAAAGAGGAAAAAATTGCCACTGATGTTATCTACACGACTTTCCTTGAATATATCACCAGTAAGAACCAATCAAATAGCGTCCAGAGTCAAAAATACCATAGCCAAATAAAAAAAGAAAAAGATTGCGGTTAGAGATTGTTGATGAAAAGAATCCGTGTATAACTAAAACGATAGTCTCGTTCGAGATATGATAAACTATCACCTCCACACAAATGAATTAAGTATGTTAAACTTTTTTATATGTCAAGAAGACATGAACAACAAAAGACATTTTCATATTTTATTTGGAAAAAAAAAATCAGGAGATTCGTTTAACCAAAGGGCATTTGCTTGCAAATACATGTATACGCAAAAGGCGAAATGGGTTTCTTGCCTACGTGATCCGGCATGATAAACCATATAAAGCTGTAACCTGTTGACATCAATAGGTCCTGTATTGGTTTAATAGCTGGCATATTAAATCAATTATCAATTACAATATATTTTTAACGTCTCTTCAATACATTTTTCTAGCAAACAGAATTATCAATTTAGGTGTCTACGTCATTTTAAAAGTAGTTTTCCTAAGTGGTTCAGATTCCCATATCATCCGATATCTGATCAAGGAATGTCTACCGCCGAAAATTTGTAAAAACTAGAATGACTGAAAGATACACTTGACGCAGTCTTAAAGACAATTATCAAAATCGTAATGAATCTTCCTAGTAAATGTTCTTCTGTTGGGTACTGATGTGATCAGAAAAACCTTATAGTTTGATAGTGTTTACTCGTTGAATTTCATCTTTTTTTGTTTGGAGATGGCAACACCTACTTCAATTTCATTTCATTAAAATAGATCTAATTGGCAGTGGTTTTAAAGTTCGCGAATGGCATCAAGAAATATTTTTTCTATCTTTCGGTGAGACAAATATTCAGTCACTTGCACGGTTCAGAAGCCATATACACCGAATGCAAATATGGCGTCCAATTTGAATTGCCATTGTTCTAGACTGACTAGCGTCGTCTTCACGTGGAAACTCAAAAGGATTATTACATGTGAGAGGGGCTAGTCATTCCAGAACAATGGCATTTCAAATTGGACGCCATATTTGCATTCGGTGTATAAGAATTTGCATTTCCCCTTCCAAAAAGTAAACATGAAATTCAAGGACTGAACCTACGTTTAAACTGTCGTGAATTATTTTGTTTACGTGAAGGTGTAGTCTGATCGTCCGGGTGAGTGTAGTCTTGAGAAGGACTGCTGTCGGTGGTAGTGACTGACGTTTCGACAACCTGTGCAGAAGTCATCATCAGAGTCAAGTGAATGATTGTTGTCAGTAGAATGTTCTTATTCCAGTTCGTGTGAAGTGATCGGTTGGTTTTGCCGTGATGTTATTGGCTGTAAGACTCAAGTGACGTTTAGTTTAGTTGGTCAGTCAGTTTCGATTAGTTAGTCAGTTTGATATGACTTAGTCCGCATTCTTTAAAAATTACAGTTTAAAGACTATACATGAATTCGAAGTCCGAAGTTATTTAGGTGTACGCTGTATTTTCATGGGTATTTTGAGGGGTGGAGAGATAGACATTTTTATCCAACAAAAGGGACGTTATTTAGTTTAGTTGGTCAGTCAGTTTCGTTTAGTTAGTTCAGTATGACCTAGTCCGCATCCTTTGATAATTAGAATTGAAAGACTATACATGAATTCAAAGTCCGGAGTTATTTAGGTGTACGCTGTCGTGATGAGTTTCCGAATTGTGACAGTCTTAATTCTGGCTACTAAGTTTTCTTCAAAATGGCCGCATCTATATTCGAATCATTACCATATTTAGAAGCAATTTTCGAACGGCTAGGTTAACCCTGACTTGCGTAAGCTCACGAAAAGAGCATTTAAAAGCAAAATTCAGAAGTTGCTTTTGACTATACTTGGGATTGACGACTATTATGTTGACGCCCATTCACTAATATTGAAATTCAATACCAATGATTATCGGAAATTATAACTGTAGTGCTTCACTCACATCCGTTTATATATCACAATTTTCTCCTCTCTACTTTCCAGTCTGCTCTACATGAGTTTGATTATTATGCCTTGTTTTAACTCATTAGTAATATTATAGTATTTAATTTGTCTGACAACTGTACTTATCTTTTAGCTTATAATGTAGTAAACTGATGCATGGCTTATAACCCCAATAATATTGTAGTAATGAATACTCTTTCGTTTATTGTAAAATCTCTTTAGTTTATTGTGGTAATTAAACTTCTTTAGCTTGCAATGTGTAGTATTTACTTATTTAATTATTACTAATACCCGCCAAGACTACCTAATGCTATATGCGGGTTGTGTAAATTTGCTTGTAATGTTCTATAAAATAATGATAAACAAAAAAAAAAAAAAACCTTTAGAATCTCAACGCGCAGTTAGTAGGGTTTCACTGCAACAAAACCTTTGGAATCTCAACTCGCAGTTAGTAGGGTTTCGCTGCAACAAATCTAAACTCGCACTAAACAAGGTCCAACTTTCCCTGACTATAAATAGTTAGTTTGGAAAAAGTGCGATTCGAGCAAAGATCGGACGTCGGATGTAAATAAAGTTTGGGAAGAGCATGAGGAGTGGCTGATTACACAGCCACATTTTGGCTCCCTTATATGGCACTTGATAAAGTATTTGGAGCAGATTTCTTATCAGATGGTAGGAATAATGTGCCACAAATAAATGTTTGTATTTTGGTTATCTAAGTGATATACTGAACGACTGTGTTTCTATGAATGTATCATGTATTTGAACTGGGGATGAATAAACCAAGATGATCATCGTAGCTCTGATACTATTTAAGCAGTAGCGAAAATCAGCCTGAAAAAAATTTAGGGTTGTACGGGATATGAACCCATGACCTCTGCGATAACGATGCATTGCTCTACCATCTGAGCTAACAATCGATCCAGGAACTGAGTATTTTTGTTGCTTTGATATTACTTCAAAACCATATAATTGGTAATATTACCAAATTACTGTGTATGGTTTATCTTTTAAAATCATTACACGACGGACTCAATACAAGATCTTTAAGTTTAACAAGCGTATTTTAGGTTATTTCTTTACAGATTCTCGAGGGTCAACCTTCCAAGATGAGGTATTGGGTGAAATGAGGATCGTGACAAACAAAATAGAATGAACGACTGCGAATATCTAAATATCATGTAAAGTGGTATACTGAAACAACGTTGATCTATCTTGATCCTTCTGTACAAATTGTGAATATCTGAATATCATAGATAAGTAGTATACCGAAACAATTTTGATCTATCCTGATCTTCTAGTACATATTGTATAACTGCGTATCCAGCTAAGTAGGACATGTTAGAATTCATGTTAGAATTCACATCATTTTAGTTTTTCATCACCATTACTTTTCGTCATCGCCGAGAATTTATTTTCACGTGTTTCTATCAGTAAAACGAAAGCTTTAAAAATAATTGGAATTTAAGCGCGTAAATATCTCAAACTACGTGGTTTGTCTAACAACATCAATACACGACAGACGAGTATTCTTGAGTCTATTTTTGACAGATTTTAAGGGTTTGCATTCCATGATCGGATACGGGGAGATATGGGGATCTGAAAGAAAAATCAATTCTAATATCACCCAGAATGGGACGTATAAAAGCAATGATTTTGGGGGCTTTCTCCATTGAAGAAGTCAATTTCCAACTGAGAAGTCAAAATGAAGACCTTTACTTTTTTGGCTTTGTTTGGCTTTGTACTGGCTGTTGGCTTTTCAGTCGCAGTAACTGAAAGAGAGTTGGCTGACATAGCAGATGAATTTGAAGCAGAAAAACTTCGAGGGTAAGTTGAATAAACAAAAACAACTATAAGTAATGAATAAAGCAACAAAATGGACTTCACAAAGGTGTCACATCAACGAGGTTCCTCCTGTTTCTCCAGGAAAATGAAAATAATACTAGATTGTGCCGGGATCAGGAAATTACTCCGATATCAATCCATTGAACTAGCGTCGGGAACTAAAAATTAGACCTATCTCCATTTCCCACTTTTTTTGTGCATCTTTGGACAACTCACTCTATAAACACCGGTTAATTAAAAATCATGTAATCAAACGGTTAAGTTTAAAATGAATTGTTTTTGTGTAAGTGGACTTTGTTTCATACTAATTGGATTGTTGCAATGGAAATAATAAGAACACTGTAACTCGATCCTCGGCTGCATTTGAACAAGTACGCTTATCTACAGCTTTCTTGTTAGACTTTGAAAATGCTTTTTGTTTTAATATGTTAGTAGTTTTGAATTGTGCCGCAGCGGCAATGATTTTACTTTGCATCTTAAATGTTTTTAGTGAAGAATACATGACAGAGAACGATGGAGAGTTCGATGAGGAAGACCTAGAGGACGATGATGAGGCAATTTCCAGAAGGTACGGTGAGGAAATGGTCTGACTTGCTTCTCGGATAACGGTGCTAAACCGTAGGCTCTCTCCCCTGCATCGTCTCTGTGCTGGTGATCAGGGGACGTCAAAGAACCCCAGGCACTTCTCGCAAAGTGTTGGGAAGGTAGCTCCCAGTGTTGTAGTTTGACCTTGTTAATGTTAATCAGGCCTCGATTTAAACCAGCTTAAATGCTGAACTGAGTCAGCCTGTCCAAATATCACACACAAATAGATATAAATAAATGAACAAATAAAGCACCAGTTCGTCCACGATTATCTTTTATAATTCCTATTTTCTCATTCTCAGTAAAAACGATATGGTAACTGAACACGAGGAGTTTGAAGAAGGAGCATTCGACAATGATGATGACAGAGACGAAGTTAGTGACGAAGATGACGTAGGAGTAATAGAAAAATCAGCTGATCCTTTTCGCTTTAGACGCCGGTTCAGACGGCTTAGACGGCTTAGACGGCTTAGAAGGTTCAGAGGGCGTACAGGCATTCGACCTCGGTTTCGTCGTAGATTTCGCGGTTAACGAAAATGACGGAATGAACAAAGGTCTGGTGAAGGTGAGTGGAATAGAAGAATTAAAGAAAAAGGAATGGCTGATTTTTTGCGCAGATTCTCCTTCTTAGTTTCTTGGAAAAGTATAGAAAAAATACGTATTGATTTCAGAGTGTAAAGTATAAAGAGTGACCCTCATCAGTAGCCATGTTTGATTTTTCTCTTCCCTGTAGGTCTTGATCAATACCCTGCTTGAAAATGCAAGGAGATCTTAAGACCACTCGTGATAAGACAGCTTGTTCTACTTCTGAAATATAATGAGAAGAAAAAGTTGTGATTTGCTTCAAATTCGCGTCAATGAAAATAAAGAACGTTCACCAATACCTGGCTGTATTGTTTTTGTTTGCTTTTTGTTATTGTTTTCGTTTGATTTACTTTTTGGGTTGTAGTTGAGGTAAAATTTTGCTGCGCAGCGAGCGTAGCGAGTGAGCAGGATCATAATCAGGATTGGAAAAGAATATAGGGGATGAAAATTCTCGAGTTCATCACTGTTTTAACCAGAGTGCAGTGTGCCACGATTGTCGTCTTTAGTGTACTGCGTTACATAGCATTAATACTGTAAGGACATTTCCTATATGTACTTTCCTAAGTAAAGACAAGTGAACTAATCGCGAGTATTGTATGATACATCTACTATCTTGATCACCGAATAAAGGACAGTCGAATTAGAGCAATGAAACGAGCCACTTGATCAATGAATAACTCTACCTTGCGTAAGTTGACACGCCGGTAAGACGGAAAGCAGAAGGCAGTGGACTGTGTGACTCTTGCCATTCGCTAACGATATAAAATCTTCTGTCTCAAAATGAAGCTTGTATTAGAATATCTCTTAATGACTTTCCTATGTGATGTGATAATAAATGTTAGTTTTAAGATGTCATTTCCCCCTCTGTATGTTATTGAGGTTTGGCAAAGCGGGATTAGATTGTGTTACTTAAATGAGGTAATATATTTCTTCTGTGTGCGCGCTATTTTCTCTGTTTTTAGTATGATTTCTCTCCCGCAGTAAATAACCTCAGAAATATGTTTCTCACTGTAAGTCTTGGAACACGCAGGTAGATGAATCACTGCGTAAATTATGTCAATATCAACGGAATGTGGAGCAGAATGTTCTCGCTGCAGTGTTTATTAGTCGGTCGACCGACTGTAGGCTAGGTTTACCCCCGGATTTCTCCACAAAGCTCAGTGACGCGCAATGGGGAATAGTGCAGACACGTAATAACGGCGCAACCTTCTTTCCACGATGTCGAAGATTGCGGATATGTGTGTCGTCTTTTTTACGCTCAAACATACAGACCCACACACCGTTCGCGGTAGACCCACTCTTAAAGATGTCGTGTGTAATGTGCTTTTATTTCGAAGCTGGTCGTTCGGCAAACTCAAAATAGCAAAAGAATCAGATGATTTAGCGAAGGTCTCGATGACAAAAGAACATTTGCTGATAAAACCAAGGTGCCTCAGGAGCAAACTCTAGGAAACGAAAACAGTGATGCCATGTTGGACTTTCATCAGAGTGAGGATAGACGCAATCGCTATATTTATGTGACCTTTAGCGTTATTTTTAAGCTTAAATTTGTTGTTTTTTTCCTCAAACAGAGTACATTATCAGCTGTTATCTTTCTATTTGTCCCATTAGTTTTGTCGCTTTTGTGCGTATGTTATATTCGCATATTGTTGCGCAGGAATTTCTGTTTGATACCAAATAATGTGGTGTCGGATATGATGATGTATTGGACAAAGTAACGCTATGCATACAACAAAAGTGTGATGAATCAGCGTTGTGTATACAAAAAAAAATTATGTTGCAAATGATATAACATAATTATGCAAAATAATTCAGTTCTCTTTATCTGATGTTTGTTAATCGTTGTAATATTAATAATGGTGATCGAGTACCATGTGCGAGGACGATTCGATCCTGATCCTACTCTAACAATTAAGGCACCATATAGTCAAAGTTATATTATGTACTTTGGTGAAAATGCTGGAAAACAATGTGTTGCTACGAGTTTGATTGCTTTGATTTATAATAAGATAACAGGAATGCATACCTGTAGTGACCTGGTACAAATTTTGGAGATGGGTAATCAATTGTATTCAACAGTGTCACAATGTACAGGGCAGATGTATTTAGTGCAAACAGAATCACCATCAATGATTGCTTTGTCTGAGAAAAATTACCAGCTTAATTGTAGTGAAAGCTACACTGGTAATCTACATCATTGGGATTCAATAATTGAGGGACATCAGTATAGTATGTGTATAGACAGGGCTTTTGAATCACTCTTGTTTCAAAATTACTCTTCATTTATTCTGACAATAGAATGTATTGGTGTTAGTATCTATCATACTGATAATGGGAGTTATAAGATATTTTATTCTCATGCAAGGGGAGAATATGGTAGAAGCCCTCCCTCAGGTACATTTGTACTGTTAGAAGTACCATCTATTCAGGGCATAGTGCAGTATTTCCAGACTATACACTCCCTCAGTGACAATTATGAACTCAGAGGAGTGCAGATTAGTACATGTGAAATAACTGCAGTGAACAGTTTGAGAGAAGAACACAACTGCTCTTGTCAGTAAACAATACTCTGCAGTAGGGCTTTATACATGTGTTAGTCAGTATCAAAGCCTTGTAGTTATTGGAATTCCAGAACCCTATGTTGCATAGCTGACCAAGGAAATAAATTCTATCGTAAGATGGGCATCAACATGCGTCTAAAAAGGGCAGATTTGTACATGAGTCTTGATGTTGTTGAATTGAGGTATCAGTCCAAAATAATCAATTAATTCGTTTAACCAAAAGGCATTTGCGTATGATGCACGATCCTCGCAGTAGTGAGCGCTATTTGTGCAATAGCGAAAATCAGACCTGAAAAAAATCAGGCCTGTACGGGATTCGAACCACTGACCTCTGCGATACTATTGCAGCGCTCTACCAATTGAGCTAACAAGCCAACTGGGAGCAGGCCGTTAAGTTGATTCGTAATAATCACTAGTAATAACCTCTGCACTAATATCGCAGAAGTCAGTGGTTCGAATCCCGTACAGGCCTGATTTTTTTCAGGTCTGATTTTCGCTATTGCACAAATAGCGCTCACTACTGCGAGGATCGTGTATCATACGTATCTATAACCGCAGTTCAAACTATATGAACTTCATATATTAACAGTAACCAAAAGGCATAGAGTCCTAAAGTGCTTACGTCACGTTTCCATAGCACCGGAATTCTGTGGTCTAAACAAACCAATATGGCGTCCCTAGCGTGACACATTGTCGTTGACCTCGAGCACTTCAAGAGCTATAATAGCGCATTTTATCCTCCAATAATAGAAATAAGATAAAGAGAATCAAGATAACCTTTGGCCTTACTATTGAAGAGTATAATAAGCGGACAAAAGCACCTGGTGAGCAATAATTCGAGTCAAAACGCCACGGAGACGAAGTTTGCGATGGGCCAGTGTTTTCATCCAGATTGCAATCACACATCTGAAAGCCACTGCTGCCGATTCTTTTCGTTTCCAGACCAGAAAAAACATAAAACACTCTATGATAAGTGGATATCATTTGTAAGGTGAGTATTTTTCGAAAAATATATATTTCGATGCTGTACCATCGATTAGAAATAGCTGTTTTTTTTTTTATCTCAAACTGATTCACGATTAGCTGTTTCTCTTTCTTGTCTTATTTGTTTTCTCGCGGCTTTGCCTTTCCTACAG